TAGTCGCTCCCTGGGACTTTCCTCTAGTTCTACGCCAGCTCACGAGGAAGCCCTTTAAGCCCCTTGCTACATGTGACCTTAAACTCCTCGCATGGAAAACGGCCTTTTTAATTGCTATCACATCAGCAAGGTGAGTTGGAGAAATATTGGCTTTCCGACACGATACACCTTACCTGTCATTTCTGCCAGACGGAGTCCACCTCATCCCAGACATCTCCTTCCTAATGAAGGTGATGTCAGAGTTCCACCTGCAGGCGGAGGTCTTCCTCCCTGACTTCTTCCCAAATCCAACATCAGCGGAGGACAGATTATTACACACCTTGGATGTGAAGCGGGCTCTCCTGTTTTATCTCAATAGAACACACCCAACTAGGCGGGACTCACAACTTTTCATCTCATATGCTTCGGCACGTCTGGGCATTCGCATCATGGCCCAGCGCCTGTCAAAGAGGATTGTGGGTCTCATCCACCTGTGTTTCCAGATCGCCAAACAGCCATTGCCTGGCCATATCAGGGCTCATTCTACCAGGGCTGTCGCAACTTCCACTGCCTTCCTCCAGGGAGTTCCGCTGACGGACATTTGCAAAGCCACTACATGGGCCACGCCTAACACCTTCATTAGGCACTACGCCCTAGACATCCATACGAACACCAATACCAACATGGGACGTCACATTCTGTCTTCAGCTACGCAGTAAAAGACCTGCCAGCACCCTCCTCCAGGTAGGCTACTGCTCGCTAATCTCCCATGGGTGTGAAGCACAGAGACCACGTCGAAGATAAGCAGGTTGCTTACCAGTAACTGGTGATCTTTGAGTGGTCATCTGTGCATTCACACCACCCGCTCTCCTTCCCCGCTGCTGTCAGCTTCTACATTTTTAATAGGGGTTGATTTGCGGTGGTTTGAAGGAACTGGCGGGATGTCCACGCCTGCCCGTCTGGGCATGTGTGGTGGGGTTCCTGCGCATGCCTGAGGGACTGGGTGCGAAAATCCATTAAAAGAGTGTGCTACAGCACCGATCGATCCAGCGCGTGCGCACTAGATCCCATGAGTGTGAATGCACAGATGACCACTCGAAGATCACCAGTTACTGGTAAGCAACCTGCCTTTTTATCTTTTCATGTGCTTGTCTTGTCATTTAGGCTTCCTATTATAATATGTTGCTTTTGTATTAGATGCACCACTGTGGTTATATTTCATCCAATAACAGAAATGGGTAGTGTTTGAGAAGCTTTGTTCATTGCTGCCCAGCTGGTGTAGCATAATTTCAAATTCACATCCCTCAGCCATGCACTTGCAAAGTGAATTTGAATGAATCACTCAACATTGAATGAAGCCTCTCAAACCTCTCTCTCTCTGCTCTCTCAACATGGATCATGACGATAATAATATTAGCCTACCATACAAAGTTGTCTGTGTACTCGTTGTAACATTCTCCAGTAGCAGGGCTTCATATAAAGCCACTTGATATGTAAAACACTACTGTGATAACATACATGAAGGACTTGGAATGCTCTAAAGTGCCATCTAAGTATTAAGTAGTAGTAATGTTGAATGCATGTATGCTAGTGGTAACTATGCATCTGTGTGTCATGGAGAAATCTCAGTGTGAATCAGGCCATACCTAATACATCTCACAGCTAGAAAAAGTAGTCTAATTACGGAAGTAGTTGCTGAACACTACAGACAGTAATTATGTACAGCTGAATTCTAGCTATGAAAGCCTATATATGGAGGAATTACATGGAGAAAATAAGCAGTCCACTTGCATGGGTGAACTGGCCCTTAGTCATCTATCTGCTAGATTTTTATCAGTGTGACATACATGGTTATCCAACTTCTTCATCTTCACAGCAACCCTTTGAGTAAGGTTAGATCAACAGAGAGTGGTTGTTTCAATGTGACTCAATGTGTTTCATGGCTTATGGACTTGAACCCGGGTCTCCTTACTCCTTACTCCGGGTCTCCTTACTCCCAACACTAACCACTACACCAAGCTGTCCCCTATCTTTGGTACTGCTATTCAGAAGTGCTTCACCACCATGTTCAACGCCTTCCAGGACAAAGGCAGCTTTCAGTCATGAGGTAGATTTTCCGACCATGCATGGGTTGTTTATTTCACTTATGCTAAACATGAGTAAGTCTGCAGGCAAAACCTGTTCACCTTTTATTAGTCTGTGGAGAGCTAATTCAATGTGTGAGGCAAGCAAAAATGTGTCCCTTGATTCGAGGCATTATCTAGTCCTGCCAATTTGTCTTGAAAATAAACAATAGGGAGGCCTTCATTCATTCCTGAAACAAAACGGAACAAAGGTGCAGTTTCTGCGTCCTATCACCAGCATGCAGAGAAACTGACACACGAGGAGGATGCATTGTGCAGGAGAGATCTCTTGTGTCTGCTTTGATATCTAAACTGTTATGTGTCACCATAATCAGACACTTCCCTGTCTTTATAACAATCCTCTGAGAACAAAAGAATCAATTGAAAATTTGCTTGCTCTGGCTCTTTTAAGAATCCCTTTATTGTTTCTTTCCCACTCCTGCAGAGCAAAAATCAGCCCCATCGCAGGGGAGAATATAATGTTTACAGCACATTCCAGAGCCATGAACCTGAGTTCGATTACCTGAAGAGCTTAGAAATAGAGGAGAAGATCAATAAAATACGATGGCTCCCCCAGCAAAATGCAGCCTACTTCCTTCTCTCCACAAATGGTATGTTGTGATAACAACAGATAATTCTTTGATTTCCAGACAAATATCCTGGAATGCTATGGTGACTGGAAGTAATTTTACAACTATAATACCTTTTCAGGACAGGTAAGTGTATTACTGTATCTTCTGTACAAATGAAGAGAAAACACATGAGGCTAGTAAGACCATAAATTGCACATATAAGGTGTGCAAAATGACAGCAACAGAAGCTGAAATAAATTTTTAAATGTCAGTAGCCCCTTGAGACCACATCTTAGGTGTGACTGCTTATTTCAGAGAAGAATTTAAGTTCATAAGAAACATGGAGCCACCACACAAAATGACAGCCCATTTTGAGTTGTCCTTCTTTTCCTCTATAATGTGTGATAAAATTTAATCCATGCTTACACTGTGCATTTTTTGACCCACAGATTCACATCACTGCCTACCATTTATGGAGGAAGAAATGCACAGTGTAAAAAATACCATGTCGGTGAATGCTTGAAGTGGGCCTGTGGTAGTATGTAGTTCTGCTTTTAGAGGTAGGATTACCTAGGAGAGATGGAGGCTGAAGGCAGCACTTGACATTTCTTCAGGCTCTAATGTGCCCTTGCTATACCAGTACTCTTTTTCCTGAAAGCTTCCACCAACTGTTATGTTACCAAAATCTTACTTTCTGTCCCCCAAATTCATCCTCCTATATGGTCACTAAAGCAGCTTTCTGTAGTATATATTTGGACTAAGATATCAATGCTGTGAGACTATATTGCAGAGCAAGAAGTGGACCTGGCGTGCATGACTGAGACCTGGATGAGGGAAGGCAAAACTGTCACCTTAAAATTGCTATCCCCTCCAGGTTTCTCGGTCCTACATCATTCTTGAGCGGGGGGGGGGGGTGATACTCATCCGTGAGAGTTTTTCCTTCAGGGCATTCCCCATCCCGAAGAAGATCAGTGGCACTGATTGTGTAGGCCTGGTATGGGACTCTGAGGTGAGTTTGGCTATCTTTCTGGTGTACCGTCCGCCTAGCACACTGGTGGACCGCCTCCTGATTTTGCTCGAGGCAGCAGCTGGCTGGGCATTGGGGTTCCTGAGGATCATCATACTCGGGGATTTCAATGTCCATGCTGATGTTGCAGCAGGCGGTGGACCTGGTGTCATCCATGGCAGCACTAGGGCTCACCCAGATTGTTTCAGGGCCCACGCATCAAGCAGGCCACAGGCTGGATCTGATCTTCAGAGTGGGGGTTGATATGGATCTGATGGCCAAATTCCTAGTACCATGGTCAGATCATTGTGCCCTGAAGGTCCAACTGGATATCCCCACCCCCCCATCTAGTCAGCGAGCGGATTTTTTTTCACCCGCAGAGACTAATGGATCTAGTTGGATTCCAGAATGTTCTGCAGGAACCAATGCCCTTCAGAGATTCCTTAGATGAGCTGATAGAGGACTGGAACACCGTGCTCTCTGAAGCCATCAACAAATTTGCCCCCAATCGCCTCCATGAAAAACATTCCCTGATACACTATGGAACTTAGGGGGATGAAGTGGGAGCTTAGACACTGGAGCGAATTTGGCAGTGAGTTCGTGACAAAGCCATGAGAACATTTTATAGGACACTTATGAAATCCTATGAGATGGCAGTGAAGGCTGCAAAGAAAGAGTTCTATCCAGCCTCCATTGCATCAGCTAGCTCTTGCCCGGCACAATTGTTTAGTATAATTAGGTCTCTTACGTCCCTCTCTGAGAGGACCCAAAGTAATAGAAATCTGACCCTAAGCTGTTAGGCATTTGCAAGCTTCTTTGCAGATAAAGTCTTGTCACTCCACCACGACCTTCCAGCCAGTATATGAACTGCAGGATCCTTGGCCTTCTCTGGATTCGGTTTTTGACACCTTCCATTGGCTCTCACAGGCCAGTGTCAACAGAATTCTGGGCGCTGTTAGGCCAACCACCTGCCTCTTGGAACCATGCCCCTCAAAGCTGGTGAAAGCTTGGTGCTTGGGGGGGTCAACAGTGGGAGGGCTTCTAATGTCCTGGCCCCACTGGTGGACCTCCTGATGGCACTGGTATTTCTGGCCACTGTGTGATACAGAGTGTTGGACTGGATGGGCCTTTGGCCTGATCCAACATTGGCATTTCTTATGTTCTCTTATGTTAAAGCCAGCAGTGAGAGGTTATGAGACCCCCTTGAAGACGTTATCAATCTGTCCCTGGGCTCAGGGACTTTCCCAGGGGGCTGAAGGAAGCAGTGGTTGTTCCACTCTTGAAAAAAACAAACTTAGATCCTATGGATCTAACCAATTACCGCCCAGTCTCAAACCTTTCATTTCTGGGTAAGGTAATTGAAAGAGTGGCAGCTGAACAGCTTCAGAAATTTCTGGATTACATATTGGTGTTGGATCCAACTGCACTTCACCTGGGCAAAGTTCGGCAGGAAATTTCTATGGAAATTAGCAAACCCTAAGAAACTTTGGAGTTGCCAGTGAGTTCTGGGGGCCTCCCACCCCAAAACGTCTTTTACTTTCCCCCGGTCCATTTCTATGCCGTGAGGGGAGATGTGATAGCCCAGGAAATCAATATCCGTTTTATGGAACGGATTACGGAATGGATACTGTCCCGACTCGTACTCCCTGGCATTGACCAGGTAGTTTGCGTGGAGTCGCCCAGATGCCGGCCCCAACCCCTCTCTTTATGGCGGTAGGTCACTCCTCTTCCCAAATGCACCGGGATGAACAAAACCGTTGACCTAGGGGTGGCCTCTCCATCCGTGGAGACTGGCCCTCCTGGGCACGCCACCGTCACGGGCGCCCCCATTCCCAATGTCGTGGTTGGGGTCGTCACCGGCACTGCCGTAGTAATTGGGGTAGGCAACGCCGTAGTAACCGGGGTGGCCACCAATGTGGTTGTTGGGGTAGGTACCCCTGCCCCACCGGGACCCCTCATCTCGCTCGGA